ACCCTGAGATGGAAAATTTTAGAAAACTTAAATATCCCCTGCATGACAATGAAGGAATATTTTTTTTCTCCTTCAGTTTTGATTAATTTCGCTGTCTGCAATTAGAATAAGGCTGATTTGTTGCTTTTATTATGCAATGGTGTCTATTTTCTTTAAGTAAGTATATTTTATTCAGTTTTACTCAGCAGAACTGACTGATGAGTTTTCAAACCTAAGTTACTCAAGAATGAGTTACATATGTCTACGGTTAGGAACATTGCTAATGAGGATAGATCATCCTGGAGGAATTCTTGGTAATTGTTTCCAGTCAACGAGCATTAATCTGAATACTTTGCTATCGTGTATCAGCGGTTTAATGGTAGAATACTAACCGACCACGCATGTGGTCTAGTGCTAGATCCCTGTCTAATGCATTGTTAAACGTTGTCTAGCAGATAGCGAAGGTTGGATGTGAGGTTAGCAAGACAACTCTGTAAGAAAAAACACCAGTGCTGTCTAAACTTTGAAGTTCAAGCTTGAAACCCCATTTTTCCTTGGAAAGCAAAGGAATAAACTGATGATAGCAATAATCGATAACGAGTTTCCTAAATCAATGAGTATAATTCATACTTGTCAACCAATCAGTATCAATCAATGTCAACGAAAGAAATTTGAAAAAAATTAGTTCCTTCGATGATCTGGTCAGGAAGCATGGCTTCAATCACAGGAGGCGGAACGGATGAAGATTTCAAAGTCAGGCAGAATCCGAAAGGCAAGATACACCTTCATCAACCTGAAACCAGTTTGGAAATCTTCTGCACTCAGTCAGTATAAAGAACAAGTTTCAGATTTTCAACACAAATATCAAGTCAGTCAGTAAGTTCTTCTATACGGGTCAGAAACTTGACGCACCCATCGCAAAAAGCACTTCGAACAGGCCACTGCAGACTCTTATCAACAGCTGCCTTCTCTGGCTCCATACTAATGATCAAATGGCCGGCCGGCCAGAAACAGTTAGCAACAAGAAACTCTGGGAACAAACCAACCAAGAGCCGACCGCTCAACAACACGCTAAGGAGAGTGTCGAATGACATCGCGCTCCAAGCTTTCAAGTGGAACCTGAATGGTGACATGCAGGGGATCGAGTGAGGTGGAGGAAGAGATGAGAGATTATAAGCAGTCGTGGACCCAGCTGAAGATGACAACAGAAAATAGAATACAGTGGAGATTTATTTGTTAAAGCACTATGTTTCACTCGGGAACAATAATACTAGTAATTGTCCACCATTTGAGTATACTGATATACCTGAACAAGCAGAAGACGAAGTACATAAAGCATATTAAATAAAGGGTGCAATTACTGAATATTTAGACAGTGTAAGCAGTGGTAAGGAGAGTGCTTAGGTTTGATAAACTGTACCCTACTTTTTCCTATTGCTGTCTAAACCTAAACTATTTTTTGACAGCTCTTTGGCTTATTGAACTAAAAAACAATCATGGGACATAAAAAATGATAAACTTTATTTCACATTAAGTACATTCATGATTTAAATGTTGGCAGTATTTCGTGCAAAATTGAAGAAGTGCCACATTTTGTGAAAATGTTAATTATAAGCTTATTTGTTAAAAAATTTATTATTCATTTTACAATGTATCAACTCTTCATAAAGACGAATTAGCTTCCATGTTTATACGTGACTCTGCAGTACTACCGACCGATTGATATGAAACACTGGAAACCACTTATATCAACCAGTAATGGTTGCTAGCCATAACAAAGTGATTAAAACACTGGGTGGTCATTTCGTTCTTTTGAAGCTTAGTTCATCAGCGGTGCATCCGGCTTGGCTTAGCTGAGGCAGCCGAATCAGTTCGAACTAGCTGAATCCCCATAAGTTCCTTGGGTAAACTGGTAATTCATGAAGTCAAATTCTTCGCAAACGTTACTGGTTGATGTAGATAGTATATACATCTCATATCAAACAATCTGTAGTATATACTGACATGCATTTATGCTTACTTTCTAGATTACTATTTGTGGTATCAACCAGATCATATTCTATGATCTTAGTAATTCAGGTTTCCAAAGGGAAACTGTGGGTGTAACTACACCTCAAAATGTGTCATTTACAAATTTCGAAATTTTTGTTTTGGTAAACTGATAATTTCAATTTCTAATTTAGTAGGCTAATGTAATAATTCTAAATCATATGTTAATAAAGCAGGTTTTTTTAAACGAATTCACTCAATTTCAGTAGAACGCCTCACCTGAATACTCTACATACAGTGTTATATATATATATATATATATATATATATATATATATATATATATATATATATATATATATATATATATATATATATATATACTAAGGGAAATATGTGGGAATATATGTGAGTTATCAAGAGTTTGGTTTGTAAGGGTTAGACTTGATTATATGAGTTTGACCGCGGATTGATATCAGTTAGATAACCATTGAAAATCAGGGAGTACTGGACAGCTGTTTCATCCTAGTGCTTGGGAATCATCGGCCGTACGCATCCATTAAAGGTTCGAACCCTGAACCTTCGGGTTATAAGAGTGAGGATGGAGTCTCCACAAATGATATTGGTTGGCGCCAGTCGCGCTAAATGCATCACGAATTGGTAGGAGTTAGAATTCATGGAATGGCCATTGAATCGCGTTCCAGTGGCTGAATGGTATACGAGCTAGCTTACCTTGTAACCGAAAAGTCTTGGGTTCGAACCCTGGCGATGGGTGAGTACTGCTGATGATTCCCAAACTAGGATGAAAGAGCTTTCCAGTGCTCCCTGGTTTTCAATCGTTCTCTAACTGATATCAATCCATGGCCACACTTGTATAAATAAGTATGAGTGACAAATAAACTACCGTGAATCAATTAAGCAAAACGAATGGTGAGAATGTTTTGCAGGTCATCTGCAAATCGGTAAGAAGTGGAATAAGGATGAGAGTTTGAAGAGTAGAATTACATTGGACTACGATTCACATGTCTTACAATAAAAACACTTAGACATTAGAGACAAAAACTGAAAGTTTTAGCGACTGCAAAAGCAATCATAATGAGATGATCAAATCCAAAAACCATAATGCAGTTACATGATCCAGTTAAAAAATTAACCTAATCAATTTTGTCAGGATGGAAGAAGAGATAATGAAGACAGGACTTTAAATGAATATAGAAAAGATATAGGTGGTGAAAAAATTCAAAAGACAACAAGAGTTACTAGTCTCCGTCAATGAGAGAAGTAAGTTGCCTCTTTCCCTTACATATCCTGGGCAGCATCGTCTCGACTACATTGGGGGCATGGATAGGGATATCAAAGCTAGTCTGGATTGGGAGTGTAAGATAGGCGTTCATTACTCTCCAGTTACTTCGGAGATCTATGGGACTCAGCACAAGGAAAAAGGTCTGAACTCTCAACATTAATATTAAGCTAGTGCTTGTACAGAGTTTAGAGACTTGGTGCATCACCCAAACCATTCCCACTAGTCTGCTGAAGATTTTCATCAGAATCTGCCTTCGCTGACTCCATACTGAAGAACAGAAGGCTGGCCAGAACAGCAAAGCAACGATGTATTCTAGCAAAAATACAACCATAAACCTATCACCCACAAAACGTATGCAGAAAGAAATAAAGATGGATAGGCCATAGGCTGAGAAAACCTTTTAAGTGAAACCATGCAGCAAGCCGTCTAGTGGTGTGGTGAGAGCAGGCTGATAGCCGATTGGTTGGCACTAATCTACGTTAAGGTCTAGGTCACTAATATGGGCCGTGAGAAGATATGAACAAGCCTGAGTCAACAACCAATCAGATGACTGCGCTTGTCTATAATAATGTAGTTGAAAGATGTATAAATACGTGTCGATTTTCATAATAAAACGATCTGTTGCCTGGCCCTTGTCTTCTGTTGTTACATTTGGTGTCGCTGCCTACCGACAAATGAAAAGCCTATACCCTGCAGTTTTTGATGGAGACATATGGATCTTCGGGCAGGACTTCAAGGCTTCTGCGCAGTTGAGTGGCGTTCAAGATCTGTCAGCGATGGAGCTGCTACTTGAGACGCTGCTGGGAGGTCGGGCGAAAGCAGCATATGAAGGTGTGGGCCGAAGTATGGACGAATGTTCGACAGGGTCAGGCAAACAGTTTCCAAAGTGGGAAGGACCATATATGGTCACTTCGAGATGGGGTTACGCAGACACAGTCGCAATGGCGAACAATAAGAGGCGCGTGAACGTCAGCGAGCTCCAGAAATGGATACAGCGAGACAAGCCAACGATGACGCCTGCACCAAGTAGATCAAGCCGACTTCAGTCGCACGTATTTGACGGGGGGACGAGTGTGGTGAGAGCAGGCTGATAGCCGATTGGTTGGCACTAATCTACGTTAAGGTCTAGGTCACTAATATGGGCCGTGAGAAGATATGAACAAGCCTGAGTCAACAACCAATCAGATGACTGCGCTTGTCTATAATAATGTAGTTGAAAGATGTATAAATACGTGTCGATTTTCATAATAAAACGATCTGTTGCCTGGCCCTTGTCTTCTGTTGTTACAGTGGAATCTAAATAAGAAGACACGAATTAAGGGTAAGTCTGACAGTGACATGAAGGAGGTCATATGGGTAGGAAATTAGAGCTCATTGCCAATCACAAAGTCACACAGAAAAGACTGCACAGAACAGGGTGGAATGACAATGTGCTGCTGAAGCCCTTTGTCTCACCAGGAACCCAAGGAATGAATAATAATATAATTATTATTGCAACTTCTGTCATTGTTTCAAATACCCGACTCCTATCTGAGACGTCATATATACAGCTGAACATAATGATCACATTATCGACACATATAATTCAACGCACCTTCACAGTGCCCCTATCGACTATTTTAGATTGTGATAATGCAGACTTCCTCAAAATACACTGTAAATTATATATTGTCAATGAAATTATAACATCAATTAAAGAAAACAAAAATTACAGTAAGTCATCACTTACCACGCCAGTATCTTTTGTCTTAACATCTAATATCTTTTCATGCCATAAAGATTTGTAATATGGAATTTTTTGAAGTGAGTAATAATAATGATAACAATAATAGTAATAGTAATAATAACAATAATTATGGTGATTTTGATGATTATTATTATTATCATCAGTAGAAGAGATATTCTTTTTTCCATCCTCCATTGTAACATTGTTAAATGATTTGTTTAACTCAATCAAGACATTTGAATGTATATTTTCACATGTTGGCGGGATATTAATAATACCCCAATTGGATTTGGTTTTTGACTGTTTAGAATCAAGTTTATGATGACGTCTACGTTTAACTGATTTGTTAATTGTTTGAATATTTATAGATACAGTTGTATTTTGAGGAGTATTTGATGTGGTCTGTTTTGTTGAATCATTTTGACCGGTGTTATTGTCATTGTTGTTGATGTTGTTATCTGGAGTTATAAGGACGGGATTACATTTGGTAAAGTTGGAAAGTTTACCACAAGTTATTCTACAAATAAATAAATAAATAAACAGGTGATAAAGATTTTAATTTTCAATTTGAAAATCTATTATCGATTTGCAATTTACACAGCTTCTAGGAGAAATTTCACCACACTTTCCTTTGGAAACCCAGATTAGTTCAGTCACCATATGTGGCTTACTTGATACTATAAATGCCAATTTAGAGGACAAACATAAATGCATGATACTGATATACTATTGATCAGTTGTTATGAGACCTAGGTCCCAAGCGAGCTAACCGACCTCCTGGTGTTTAGATCACTTCGGTCTGGTTAGCAAGCATCCTCTTTGATGAGTGGTTTCTGACTACTCATATTGGCTAATCAGTAGTATACAGCATCATGCATTTATGATACAGATTTTAGATTGAAATTTGACCAAAGATTGATATCAGTTAGAGAACCACTGAGAACCAGCTGTTTTGTCCCAGTTTGGGAATCACTGGCATTATGGACCCAGGACCTTCCGGTTTCAAGGAAAGCTCATAGACCATACAGCCACTGAGACCCAACTCAATGATAAGCCCATGAGATCTAACATCTATGATTTCAGCGCGAGCAGCAGCCAATGTCTTAGATTTAATTGAATTTTAGATTTTCCGGTCGATTGATTGGACCGAAGTGCTCGGTCTCAGGTTGATATGTCGGCCTCTTTTACACATGCTTCGACGATGTCTGGGGACGTAATTAGAAGTTAATTGGTGTATGGTGACTAGCAGTGGTGGAATCCAGGATGCGCATTTCGTCCTATTTGAGACTCGTCAGCTGGATGTACCTGCATTTCCCAGTGGCTGATGATGTTCTCACCACGGAGGCTCAAACACATTGCCCATTGTTTCAAACGCCACAGCGTTATCCACTAGACCACTCGGGCCAGGAGAGCCACATCTTGTGCAACGGGTCATATTAATTTAATTTTAGATTTTCCCATCGATTGAAATGCGATCGAAATGTGCATCCTGGATTTGACTGCTAGTCACCATTCACAAAATAAATTCTTATTAAATGCCCAGAGATTGTCGAAGCATCTGCACAAGAAGCGGACATGTCAACCTGAGACCGAGCACTTCGGTCCAATCAGTCGACGGGAAAATCTGAAATTCAATTAAATTAAAATGACCCGTTGCACAAGAGGTGCTCTCCCGGCCCGAGTGGTCTAGTAGATAACGCTTTGGCGTTTGAAACCACGGGCAATGTGTTTGAGCCTCCGTGGTGAAAACATCATCACTCACTGGGGAATACAGGTACATCCAGCTGACGAGTCTCAAATAGGACGAAATGCGCATCCCGGATTCCACCACTGCTAGTCACCGTCCACAAATTGGATGTCTTAGACTGTTTTGATTCAGCATGTACTAGTGAAGACCACATGCCTTCCTTCGTATTAAAATCTACTCTCCCGAAGAAAATTGAAAATTCTCATATACTTACTGAAGTAAACACTTCTAATAGCTAACAATGTTTACAAAATTAGGCTGTGACATTTGCAAAATGTTCTTTGCCACACATACTACTGTCCGGATAATATCAGTAGTCGAAAACCGAACATGTTAAGAATAGTGAGTGTTGTTAGCGGCGGTATATCGCCTGCTTTCTTCATTGTTATTTATGTTATCAATCAGATCTCATGTTTTGATCAAGATACTTTTTTTGATTTCTAAAGAGAAATCTAGTGAAATTTTGACCTCAAAATGTGTAATTTACAAATTGCAAATTTGACTCCAAAGTTGGTAGTTATTTTTATCTCTGTGTGATTCTCTTCACAATTTTCTGTTGAAACACGATTTAATTTAAAGACAGACTGATAGAATTCAGTCTACACCAATGGTAAGGATTAGACGCATGACACTGGTTACACCCTAGTGACCAATCAATCTATCCATTACAGTCCTACATGAGGTCAGTCCCGAGGCTCAGCGGTAACGTCTCTGACCGCAGCATTGGGTGACGCGGGTTTCGGCTCCCAGAAAGGAAGTGAGTTTCTTCAAGATTTCAGGTACACCTTGTTGACGAGTGACGACTGCCTCTAACCATCTAACATCAGTTCATAGTGCACTGTGTTGGTAAGCCAGGTAGCTTAATTATCATATTGCAAACTTGACTGATAGAATTCAGTCTGCATCAAAACTATCGTGTAGATTCATGAGATCAGTTACACCCTAGTGACAAATCAGTATAGACAGTTATTAGTTAGACTCGATTACTTTTCATTATACAACACAGATCTATTTACCATGCATAAAACAGTTAATCCACATTCAGCTTCCGATAATTCCTAACCTAAATTGTATGACATTCGGAAAACTGTCTGTAATGGGCACTTGCCATGCGAAACGTCCGGTTTCACTTCCCGGCCGACAAACTCCTAAGCCTCCTCTAGCTTACTAGCAAATAGAAAGTCTGGAAAAGAGGAAAGGTTGAGGGTGAAGCATGTGGTCCCACCGCTAGTGAAATTTTCAGGCTTGAATTTCCCTGTTCTACTCAAAATGCAAGGAATGAAAGAAAACGTCTTGTCAAAGTATCATTTAAGCAAGTAGAAAATGTTCACACTTCATTTTCACGTCCCTATAAGCAGTTGCTTTTCTTCCGAAATTATACTACTGACAAAATCGTGTGTAGACAGATTGCTTAATTTGTCTGAATAGTTGAAAATACTTTCGATGTAGAATTTTCCTCTAAGTAATTTAGATTAAACACAGGCACGCAATTGAAATATTAGAATTGTATGAGGATTTTATTTTCACAATCGTTTTTCGTATATATTAAGTCTACTGTTGCAATGATTCAATCCTTTAAAATATTTAATTGACATACACATGCAACTTGTTTCACAGTTGCTCAACTAACTGAAAATATATCTAGTAAATAGATGGACAGGAAATAACAATTACTAGTCGCATTTTCCTTTTCAGTTATTTTCATTGAAGTCATTCACATGAAGTTTGACTTGAAAACAATAAGAAATAAGTGAGTTGTTTATCACCTGTTCTGTGTTCACCCTCATAATAATAAGGACTTCAAATCTCTTAAAATCTTGAGACCTGGCAAATATCTCAATGACTGATGAGCCAAAGTAGAACTTCTACAGGGAGAAGTGTATCAATCTAAATCGCCGAAAATCTGAATAGTACACATAAAAGATAATAAATATGACAACAAGAACGGATAGAGATGTACTGAACATATAGAGACAGTAAGAAGTCGTGACCAGAGGGGTCAACCAAGTCAGTTAAGGGGGCAGGTGCTCGCAGGCGTTATCGGCCTGTGGTTGCGCCATATATAATGCGAATTTGTCTATAGGATAATACGATGGTGAATATAAAATTGTGCAGTTAGTCATAATAGTGGTAATGATAATATTAATAATAGTAATAATAATAATAATAATGGTCTTATCAATAATAAGGATGAAAAAATGAGGCAATCTGTGATAACACGAATACTGTTTTTCATTATTCGTGTTATCACAGATTGCCTCATTTTTTCATCCTTATTATTGATAAGACCATTATTATTATTATTATTATTATTATTACTATTATTAATATTATCATTACCACTATTATGAATAATGCGAATTCTCAGGATTTGTGACTCATGGGTTATTGGATCCGGGACCAGTGGCTGAGTGGTCTGCAACCTTGCCTTGTGACCTAAAGATCCTGAATTTAAACCCGGTGGGTGAGTACTGATGAAGAGGAGTACCGAACTTGAACGAAACAGATGTTCAGTACTCCAGGTTTTCTGGTGGTTCTCTAACCGATGTCAACTCATGACCAAACTTGTAACCAATCAAATCCCTGCAAACCAACACTGGGGAGGAATTTTGTGAGGAGTGGTGATATTCACTATTTTAAAGATTGTAAGAAATCAATGCAGCTGCGTTGTTTTGCACGAGTTTTGGTTATCTTATCTAGAGTTTTCAAACATTGATTCTTATCATACTGAGAACGTCGTGTGGGTCGACCTCCATATGTGTGTTGGATGAGTAACCAATAATTTTAAAGATTAATACTAAGTTTCGATATGATCAACCCTTACTGATCTAACATGACCCACTTGAGAAGAGGGTGGCGTTGCGTATCTCAGGGGGTGTAACATGTGTTCCAATTATTGTGATTTATCAATATTAAAAACCTCGTTAATTGAATTAACACTTAACACCATAAATTAAGTTCACCTATTGTCGAACACAGATAAAAGCTTGATACCTCCTACTTCAACAGCCATATCTCGCAGCTGTGAAGTAAGACTGGGTAAATAACTGTCTATGACGTCCATCCCTTCTCGGAAAGCCAAATATTTTGCAGACAGAAAATATGATAGAACCTGGTAAACACCAAAAGATGATCATATAACTGTGCTGCAGTTTCATCAGAAACTTTCTAAATAAACCAACTGGTTATCATATCCCGTCACCTAATATGTATCCTAAAACTACAAGTCTATGCACATTGGTCTTTTGATATTACAATTAATATGACATAAGGAAAGTTTCTGCCGGACACTCACAAATATTAACTTGAAAATCCCCACTGAGTCATATAAAAGGAAACGCGTCCAACTAGAAGTTACTAGTTTCGGCGATACTATTTCCAAGAATGTGTCATTAGAATTGTAAGCTGAATCCGCAGCATTTGCGGCCCTAGCACTATGGAACAGGAGATAAAGACTCTGAAAATATCCTCCACGAAAACGGCTACCCAAAACTTTTCAACACAAAATCCATGAAAGCTAAATCACCAAATCAGCCCACACTTTTTGCTTCCAAAACACCTTCTCCACTTAAATCTGCAATTCAGTGGAGACATATCGACAGAAACACTGAGAAACCATCTGTCCCGCTCACTGAAGAAAAAATTCTTCGCTGCTGAACTTCGACTAACTTCCTCCATAAAACCAAAGAGTCTCATGAAATTGAAGAGTAAGCTACTACTGTTGGCCTCTGTGCATGCCACTGTGCATCTGTCAGTTCACCTGCGCGTGTGAAGCTAAGTACGTCGGCCATACTTAGCGTACGCTATACCAACGTATCATCAAACACTTACTCTCGTGATTTTATCAAGGGAAAAAAAGATACCCCTCCCGAAGCTCTATCCTGGAACACCAGGCCGAATCTGGAAACCAAGCTAACCCCCAAACTAACTTCAAAATTATCTACAGAATACGTGGGGATCTTACTAAGAAAGTAAAAATCAAACTTCTGCAAACCTCTGAATCAATGGCAGTTCACACGTTAGATACTCAACTCTGCATGCAGAAAGAGCTTGTTCAGTCATAAAATCTACAATGGACCAGATCTATATTAACATTAGATATGTAATTTTTGTTTTTTAATTGTATTATTTTTCCCTCGCCTTCTATTAAATTATTTCATGTTTATTCCCGACTAACTCCTTCTACGTTAAGTCATTTTTTATTTAAAATTTACATTTCTAATGACACATCTTTGAAAATATTCCTTCTGTTGCCAACATAATTTACTATATATGTGCGCGATTTCACAGCTTGAGAATGATATCGCCGGAAAGAGTAACTCTTCGCTGAACCCCTCTTCTTTTTATGACTTACAAATGTTCTTAAACAACGGAATTTTCTTACTGTCTTTGTCTTTAAATCACTGCAACTCACTGATTCTCCGAATATATTTATAATAAGAGAAAGATTGAGCGAAGAAATATTTACTTTTCAATTAGATCCTCATCTCTGGCTCTACTCTAATATATATAGCATTTTGATTACAATATACAACAATTTACCAATCAAGTGGCGATATGTTTGTTAACAATAATTAGTCAGTGTCAAAATGTCAATGGGTGGTAATTAACGAAGAAAAATTAATATGTATAATTAAAGGGTGGAAATGGTTACAACATGTGGATTGCATAATGCATAATTTAGGAAAGAATGAAGAGCAATTAAGGAATAAGCGTGTATACAGGTTGATTACCGTTAATGGAGACAGTGGATTTTATATGTGAGGAGATTACTACACGAAACATAGACATCGGCATTTCTGTATCCACCTTGAAGGAACTTATTTTAAGATGTACAATGAACGTTCATTTCTTATTCAATAAGGAATATTACAGACAAATTGATGGTGTAGCTATGGGTTCCCCATTAGGCCCAATCCTAGCTGATTTTTTCCTCGCTAAGTTAGAGAATGGACCACTGAAAGGAGTAATTAGTGACTTGGATTTCTACTGTCGATATATGGATGATACATTTCTGGTCATAAAAAACGAGGACGATGCAATGAACATCCTTGACAAGTTTAATGATGCCCATTCAGCAATAAACTTTACTATAGAGAAAGAAAGTAATGACTGTATCTCATTCCTAGACGTCTTCATGGCAAGGAAAGAAGATGGCACACTAAGAAGGAGTGTGTACAGGAAACCTACTACAACAGGACAGTACACTCATTTTTTGAGTTTTGTACCTTTGAAATATAAACGCAACCTGGTAAAGTGTCTGGTTCATAGAGCTAGGTTAATCTGTTCAGACGACTGCTTCAATGAGGAGCTTGAGATTATTAGAGAATTACTTAGAAAAAATGGTTATCCAGATAAGTTTATTGAGAAAAATATGAATTCATCACCTAGGACAGTGACTATGGCAACAGTTCCGAAAAAACCACTGTTCATAAAACTTCAGTTCCTCGGCGACAACATCAGCGAAATAATAACACAGCGACTGAAGAATGCAGTTAAAAGAGCTTATTATGCAGCAGAGGTACGCTGTCTCTTCACAACCACACCTATCCTACGTTCGAGTAATAAGGATAAACTACCTAAATTCGCCTCTTCTATGTGTATCTACCAGTTTGACTGCAGCTGCGGAGCCAGCTACATCGGGCGAACAATTAGGCAGGTTCATCATCGTATTTCCGAACATCATCCGGCATGGTTAAGCAAGGGACAAACAAAATCTATTCGTAGCTCTATTTTAGCCCACCTTGTAGATAGTGAGCATAAGGTTGATGTTAATACTGCATTTAAAATTATTTATCGCATTCCTACTAATCTTAATTTTGCTTTACGAGTTCGTCTTCTACATACAGCTGAAGCAATAGGAATCCACCTGAAGAAGCCAAACTTGTGTGTTCAGAAGAAATTTGTACAGCCACTTTCCTTACCTTGGCCATCGTTACATGACTGTATAAACCGGACTACTCCATCACCCTCCCCCTAGAATAATTTTTCTTTTTTAAAAACTATAATTGTCCAAATTATTTTATTTTTCTGACTACTTCATCTTTAATTACGTGTTATCCTTGTAAAAATTATTTTATTCTTATGACCACTTCAACTTTAGTTACAAATTATCATTGTCCAAATTGTTTTATTTTCTTTAACAATCTGTTACGTAATCAACCTGTGCACACGCTTATTCCTTAATTGCTCTTCATTTTTCCAAAATTATGCATTATGCAATCCACGTGTTGTAACCATTTCCACCCTTTAATTATACATATTAATTTTTCTTCGTTAATTATCACCCCATTGACATTTTGACACCGACTAATTATTGTTAACAAACATATCGCCACTTGATTGGTAAATTGTTGTGTATTGTAATTAAAATGCTATATATATTAGAGTAGAGCCAGAGATGAGGATCTAATTGAAAAGTAAATATTTCTTCGCTCAATCTTTCTCTTTTCTAAATGTCTAAATGGGGATATTTTCTATATTTTTAATAGATAGAATTTTAAGTTCATAGGCCATTGGATTCCGTCCCAGTAGCTGAAGTGTCAACGAGTTCGTCTCGCAACCTAAAGATCTTGATTTTGACTCACAGTGGGGACACAGGTGTATACTACAGAAAAGTCTCAAAGAGAGCTGATGAAAGAGCTTTCTGTCACTTCCTGGTTTTTAATGGTTTTAAAAATTATATCAGACCGTGGTCGGTCCTGAAGCCGATAAAACCTCTACAGACTACTAAGAGAAAACTTTCAATATACACCAGTTAAACAAAAACTTCTAAAAATAACTCACGATAAAACTAAAATCTTCAGACAATTATTATTCCCTCCAGTATCAGAAACTAAACTTGTATGTATTGATTTTGCCATAATCAGTAATTCATCATAAGGACACATTGTATAATGAATCTGATTGACATTTTCATTATGTATCATAATTGTATATCGTTCTGGACTACAAAATGTACAGAATTTTTGACAATGTCTAATGTGTTTTGGTGTAGTGGAATTCATACTAAATAAATTTGAGGTCTGAATATTCCCAAATCTACGTTTCATTGTTTTCAACAAAAGAAATCGATTACCAAGATTTACTACAAAAAAAACAGAAATATATTAAAATTGTCAATTCATTACAATCTGTCATGATTGTATTATAATTGAATAAATAAATAAGTTCAGATCAGGGATTTTGTAAGGATTTCGACTCATTTCAGTGTTGATTTCGTCACGACCCAGTATCAGTAAGGGAAACATTTAAAACTAGGGAGTACTGGACAGTTGTTTTATTCTAGCTTGGACTCTTCATCTGCACTCACCCATAATCCCACCGGAGATCGAACCTTTATATTACAAGGTCAACCCATTGTTCAGTGTCCCTGGCTTACAATGATCCTCTAATTGATGTTTCCTCATGTTGAAACCTACATGGAAGTAAGTAAGTGTTAGCATTGAAAAAAGCTAAATAGTAAGGATGATTAGGTATACCGGTTCAAGTAAGCTGATATAAACTAACTAGGGAAAGGGCACTATTGATGGATAATAAGATGAAATATTGTTGTTATACTGAAACAGGAGTCTAGTGAGTTTTATTGAACTAGTTATGATCACTGTTGAGTAAAAGAGTTCATATGAAGTACTTAAGCAAATTAAGATGACATTTAAGTCAACTTTCAGTTTGTAAAGTGTAAGTTTCACACATCACTTAGGTTGGATTGCTTAAGGAATTAATTGATCCCCAAAGCGTTTTCAACCACTGGTCGGCAGTATCATGAAAATGACTGAAAATTAAGGAATAATGGATGGCTGGTTGTTTGAAGTTAAGAGCCTTTTAGCAAATGACACTCCTCAACTTATATGATACCATACTGAAAATTGGGATGTTTTGCAGACACCATACCACTGTTCAGCAGATTAATGAAGATCAAAACGCCTTCTTTATTACTAATCCAGTCCAAGCCAATTGTTCCGATAAAATTTCGGCTTCTAGTCAAGACAAACATCTGAAATACTCCTTTGCTATGACCTTATATCAGATTTTAGTAATGACTTTTTAAAAAAATAGGGCTTCGTAATTTTCTGAAGTTTTAATAGTGGTGCTGTTCTTTTTATGCGTCAAGACTACTAGCCTGATGCCTAAACTTCACTATTTTCCGTGCTTAATTATGGCCAGTCAAGGTTTGGGAGTATATCGGCCGAGAATCAATGCTATGGCCGTCATATGGCTATCGAGCATTCTACCACCGAACTACCGACGCTCAGTTTATTTCTTAAGTGCTTTTGAAATGTGACTACAAAGATGATATCATCTCATTAAAAACAAGGAACCCCACACACCCATGGAGCCTTATGATTTTGATATTCCATCATGTACCTACATATCTTCTTGACGCAAATTATCTTGAATTTTCTCTGCTTCACTGCCACGAAAATCTTCTATTTAGCTGATATGCGGTGTATACTACTGGCAAGAATTTATAAGTAGTATGTATGTGTATAATTTGTGAATGTGATGTTATATGCAAGAATGTTGAATAGAAGCGCTGGATTAAATGGAGAAGAGGAGGAATAAACGCCCATGTAGAAATATATATAAAGCATGAAAGGAAAACAAAAGAAGCAGAATTCAAATAACTTTTACAGACTGGAATCTCAACATAAGATTTCTACATTTCACCAACACTGTAGGTCATTTAGGTTTCTGTCCATGCATAGCTAGAGCTTCGACTATGTATACATAAGTGGAGAAAACGTAAGCTTTCTGGAGTGACTGGATTTGGTCCTTATGATAACTTTATAGGATAAATCACGTGGGGTTGAATGACCTGACTCCAGAAGGTGTTCACAGATTGGAGGCTTTATCATCCATTGCTCACCCTTCATTAACCAAATCGAGTGGTGTTCAGCTACGCATTTACGGAGAACACGTTTACAATGCCCAATGTAATCAGCTATGCGCAAGCATATGAATGAGTATATGCACACTGAGGTGGACATAAGCGCTAGTTTATCCCTGTTACATCGTTGAATCATATTTCGGCTGATGAAACACTAAGTGTAAGTCAGCAGCATAGAAACAGCGTTTAACACATCTAGATGAATGACTTTTAATAATTTCAGCAATAGTGTTACTTTTGAACGCTAAACTCATAAAAAGTGTCTTCTATGGCACTATGATTTGGCAGGGGAGGGTTTGTTTCTTCATGTTTCTATTAATAAACTTTCTGGGATATCTATTATTTAAGAAAGTTGTGTGAAGGCTTTCCAGTTCTATGTCGACCGTATCTACAGAGCAAATTTTCTGAATCCTGGAGCCTAGAGAACGGATACGATTTCTCTTCTTGACTAGAGGTACCAAGCTGTTGAAGGTAGTGTACTGACCTGTGAATGTTGAATTTCGGTAAATTGGCCTTATTAACGTGCTGTCCTCTCTTCTACCTAGAACCACCCCTAAGATTTGAAATGCGGAATTCGACTCTTCTTTGATAATGAAAAACATAGATGAGTGAGAACCATTAAATGACTTTATGGTCTTCCTAAGGTGCATAAAGATGGTGTCGTTCTGCAACCTATATTGGACATCCCGAACTCTCCGTATCATTCCACAGCAAAAGGTCTGGCTGAGATCCTTGAACCAGTGAGATCAAATCTATGTAAACATAGTATTTCAGACACTTTTGACTTCGTCAGTTGAGTTGATGGAATTAAGTTGACTGGTAAGCATAGGATTTCATTTTGTGTTTAATCTTTATTTACAAATATACCATTAGAAGGAACTATTTTTGTTATCTGTGTGATTACATCGACATAGAATGCATAAATTTTGAAGTGCCAACTAACTATCTGAAGCAGCTTTTATTGAGCCATGTGCTTAATGTGAAATTTGAATTTAACGACAGAGTCTCCATGGGGTCCTTATTAGGATCTCTCCTAGTGGATGTCTTCATGGCAAGCTTGAAGAGGAGGCCATTGGAAGAAACAATCTCGTTCGCAAAGCAAACAATTCTTCAACCAAATACCAATGTGTTCCGCCGTTTCAGATATGCAGAACCTTATTTACGGACATATGATTGTAGGATCTTAAGGCGTTATCAAAAAGATCTTTTTGTACCATAGCTTGTGTCATAAAAACTACACTTTAAACTCATCTATCTAATTAGCCTAGGCATTATTTTTTATTATATTTGATTGGAGCTTGTTTCCATACCGTATTTCTGGTACAAGTATAGAATTTTCAGCACGTGATATCGGCTCCCCAAATGTTGCAGGCCGACCATTGATATCAGGTGTGCATCTGCCGGGGATCGAACCTCGGACTATGTGCATGGTCGGTGAGAGTCTTAACCACTGTGCCACCGGCGCACAGCATCAGGTAATCCGACACTATTGTCAAGTAATAAATAGTGTTTTACCATATAGCATGAAAGGTAAAGAAAAGGAAAATAAAACAACTTTCATATATCTACACATCAAATACATCTAAAATAAATTGAAGTCATTATTTCAATGTTTTGATATGTCTACTACAAAACTTTATTTCAAACTTCTTAGGATCAAACTCTTGCAAAGAGATTCTGTTCATTCAGATATTTCCGTTTTACTAAATGATGGCTCACTCAGCTAGTTAGATGAATATCACAAGATATATTTGTGTACCGCTTTGCATCAGTTTTCACTGTGACTTAAAAGTTATACTTTACAAGACACAGTGATGTAAATCATTTTCATTTACCCCCAGTAAACCATCCGCCCTTGGTGGAAACAGGGGATAAATTGTAGTAATCCGGAAAAAAAAATACTACTTCATTCAGTGATAAGTTTTTAAAAATTGCAGGTACTGTTAGTCCCCAGTGGATCCATGGGTATGTATTGCTGAGGAGACACAAAGTATAACGAAGCAGCTCTCCAGTGCTTCTCTAACTGCTGTCATTCGGTGAATTAAGTTCAAAAACAATCAAGTCACCCCCAAAACAACACTTGAGAATTAATCTACTGCTTATAATAACTGACTGCAGGATGAACTTCATGACTAGTGGAGTCCATCCAGTCCACTGTGGGGATAGATACTCATGTATGGCATTTTGGTTGCTGGTGGCACTATATATCGAGAATTGGAGAAAGTAAGAAATCATGAACCACTGGATAGAGTTCTAGATTGCGAAATTACCTTAAATTATTATTGGTTAAATAAATTTCACTGAAGAGTAAATGTAATCGTCACCTGAATACTTTCTGTTCCCATGTTATCAGTAAGTTATTCACAATGAATGTAAAGAAATTACGATAAAGGATATAAATTAAACTTATTTTTGTAAAAAAATCTCAGCGATACTGAAACATATAGTGCAGCATTTTTACATTAAAACAATTTTTTAGTCTTTATAACGAATAAAAGTAAAATGGATAACCGTTGAAAACCATGGAGTACTGTGGACAGCTGTTTCAGCCTAGTTTGAGAATCATCGTCAGTACCCACCCAACACCAGGGTTCGAAACCTAAGACCTTCTGGTTACAAGGCATGCTGATATACCATTCAGCCACTGGGACCCCGCCCGATTCAGCGGCTAGCCCATGAATTCTAACTTCTACCAATTCATGATTTAGCGCCACCACCAACCATCCTCACACTTGACTGTATGAACCTCACTGGTTACGTCTTTTCACTAGAACTCCAGGAAATTCCATCCTGTGGGTGCGCGCTGCTGATGATTCCCAAGCTCTAGGATGAAACAGCTGTCCAGTACTCCCTGGAATTCAATCGTTCTCTAACTAATGTCAGTCCATGGTTTTGAATGATTAAACCGTAAGTATTACCACCGATAATATTCCTAATTGGGGTGGACTGGATTATGTGTTAAAATGAGTGGAGTGAGAAGTCAAGAATACGTTGGACCACCGATACGAAGTTTCTAGAAGATCTGGATTCCGCAGATGGTATTTGTTTAATGTCACGCAAATTCGAAGACTTGCAGGCGAAAACTAACAAATGGCTGAAGAGGCAAGCAGCGAAAACAGGACTCCAGGCGAACACGGAGAAGACGAAGGTGATGAAGATCAACACCAACCACCACCAGTAGCAATAAAAACAACCAACACCAATCACCATCAATGGAAGAGATTTGACAGAGGTTACTTCCTTCACTTATCTAGGCAGCCAGCATCGATTCAACCTCAGGCGGAACGGTTGACGATGTCAAAGGCAAGAGACACCTTCATCAACTTACAACCAGTCTGGAAATCTTCTACACTTAACAAAAGGAACAAGATTCGGATTTTCAACACAAATGTGAAGTCAGTTAGTCAATCCTTCGATACGAGTCAGGAAATTGCACTGCATGTCACAGAAACAATTTCCAACAAGTTACAAACTTTATTAACAACTTCTACCTTCACTGGCTTCATACTGAAGATCAAATGGCCAGAAAGAATAAATGACAAGAAACTCTAGCTGGGAACAAACTAACCAAGAGCCGATTGGTCAATACATATACAGAAAAAAATGGAAATGGATAAGGCATCCATTGAGGAGACTGTCGAATGACATCTAGTGGAACCTAAATGGGAAATGACAAGTGGGTCGTCCGAGGGTAACATAAAGCAGATGAGAGATAATGGGTAATCGTGGCCCCAGATGAAGGGGACACCAGAAAAGTGGAGATGTGCTGTGTGAAGCCCAATGTTCCACTTGGAACCCAAGGGAATAATAATGATAATTTCAGGAGTGTATGGAATCATTTAATAGTAATAATAATAATAATAATAATAATAATAATAATAATAAGAATATACAGTGTGATTTATTCTGGACACATTTTCAACTTACCTTCAATTCGAAAGACCATCTTGTAAAAATGGGCTTAACGGAGTATGTAAATTAGTGTCTTCCTTCAAGGAATCTTTATTTCCTGTACAGTTAATTAATTAGTTATCTGTATTTATATACAATAAATGCATTAATTAATTAAATAATTTATTGGTATTATTTTTATTCTATAAAGTGAGAGCACCAATCCGAAATTGTATTCATCACATACTTTGGCCACTCTTTTTCTCCTCTTTTTTTAACGCTTGTCATACTAACACTAACACTCTCAACCGATGATTGAGGAGTTACAATAGAACAGAATCTAGGGTCTGTTAGTGTTTGTAGTAGACTTGTAAAAAAAATAAACCACCCTGAATGTGTACACACTAATGACTGCTTTTTGACTTGCTGTAGGATCACTTAATCTCTCAGTACGCGTCTTTGTACATGTTTGTACATAGATATGTTTGTACACTCATCGAAATGTCTGTGTCCCTGATGTACGAACAACTGGTTAATCTAATTTACTACTCTTTTTATGCGAATGTCGACAGGTGGTTATAAAAACTCCCACTTAACTTGTATTAATATTTGGTCATGGAGTTGAATTAAAATGGCCTTTTAAGCCATTCAAAATGTTGCTATTTTTTTTATTTGTTATTATCATATTTCATGTACATCTCTCTGTATAGCGTTATTATACATATGCCTACAGGCGTACAAAAATACTAATGAAATGGTTTCGATTATGTATAGACACATTACATACATACAAACATACACTGTTAATATTATCAGTTAAGACCTGGATTTTATTGGCTTCTTCGTCTTTGCAGTATCATCTGCTTAGTCAATTGATCTAAATCTATGCATACATGAGTATATGTACATACATATATAACACACACACATACACACAAAGTGTAATCAATACTAACTTACAGGTGAAATTCTTCAAATAGTGCCTTCAACTTAAAGCTAAATTGTATGCATATATACACACATACGTAAGTATTTACAAATACACGTGTATAACAGTATCAACATTAAGTGTACATGTGAATTACTTCAGAATGGTAGACGAAATTTCATTCCCTTAACAGATGGAGGTGAGAAAGAGAGAGGGGGTAAGACTGAGAGAGTATTGGCATCATACAAATATATATAGTGTACCACACACATGTGTAAAACAAACCTATCTGACGAGTATACATTTAGAAAAATTAATGCTTGTCTCAATTCTCTACAAAAAGAATCACCTCTGGTATCATGGGGGCTAGTAATTCAACGATAAATGCTGTGATGAATGTTTCCATTCAAAATAGAATAATGATTATGATAAGGTGGATTGTATATAAACAAATAAAGTGTCATTTTGAAAGCATATTTTACTGTCATTATTGTCCAAGATAGTGAAAACACAGTAAATGTTGTCTGTGTGTAGTGAGCAGTTTTCAACACTTCTTTAACGTTTGTTTACTTGTACTGTCAAAATTTATTTAGAAAAGCGAGATTCAAACCGTCAATTAATACTACCATTAATAATAATACAAATAAAAGATTTCTTGAAGTAAATTGGAGGCTGGTGACTAGCAGTGGAATCCAAGATGTGGATTTCGTTTTTTGGTGACTCGTCGTCATCCGGATGTAGCTGTATTCCCCAGTTAATGATGGAGTTCCAATGAATAGTGGATAAGGCTTCGGCTTTTGAAACTTTGGGTATTGGGTTCGAACTCCAGTGGGAACACCACCACTCACTGGGGAATGCAGATAAATCTAGCTGATGATGAGTCGCAAATAGGACGAAACGCGCGTTATCCTGGATTCTACTGCTAGACACCATCCACCGATTTTTCTTCAAGGTAAATGAGCAGACATCACCGAAGCATGTGGACCAGGATCCGACAGGTAAACCAGAGGCCCAGCACTTAGGTCCAATCAGTCGACGGGGAAATCCGAACTGAATTAAATAAAAGATTTCTACTTGAATACTGCTTGCTTGTAGGTATGATCCAAATATCCACTGTACACAGTCGTCTCACAGTGTGAATTTAATATTTACATTACGGGTTTTGTAAGGATTTGAACTAATTTCAGTGTACATTTCGTCACGAACTAACATGGCGAAGTTAAATTACAGTAGCCATAGACAAGTTCTGTCAAAAGTTGACCCTGAAGAACCAATCAGATTTGGAGGAATCTACGAAAGGTCATTCCAAGGGGAAATCATGTCTGTCTTAATGAATTCGGTGAATGAATTCCATGAAAATGGAGTATTTAACTACTGTCAATAATGGATTCAGGTAAACGTGTGAGTGTGTGTATAAGGGAAGACTGTGACAATAATGCAGTACAACCTTATGATGGATGAATATTGCTATAGATGTCATCCATGCTGCAAGAGGAAATTGGTTCGTGAGGGTAGGTACAGTATTTTACTTATTCCCAAGGTACTTTTTCTCCACATATAAGCTGTCTTTCTCAAATATCCTACGGCTAACATATTGCTTGGTTTTGCAAAGGCTTGTAAGGGTAGCAGCAGATGAGACGGAAAATAGTCTGGTCTCTACAATTTAGTGGTATCAGCATCGTAGAACTGCAATATCACGGAATTTAGAGAGGACTACCACCTGTCTTGGAGGAGTAGGAGTATGTATTCTCATTGATGAAGCTGTGCCTATAAAGTAGCGGTACAATACAGGATCCGGAATGGATAACCAAATATGGGTGCTTGGAATTTATGACACTTCACTACGGAAAGGTTTAATTGAAATAATACGCAATAGAAATGCCGGAGTATTAATTCCAGTCATTCAGCACCAGGTAATGCTACGAACGACTATTCATACAGACGAATGGGAGGGATATAACCAATTATAATCACTAGGATTTATTCGTCATTGTGTTTACCACTCTTCCGAATTCGTAGATCCAATCACTGACACTCCCATTAATTATATAAGAGGATTTTGGTCGAGGTTGAAGAAGAGAGGGATGAATATTAATGGATCCCAAAGTACCATTATTTTCAACCACCAAGATGAGTACATGTATCGTGTGTGTATTGGTTTCTCTGTGGATTATTTCTGGGAGGCTTCAGATACATTTTTAAAACACATAAAAGACCATTATCCAGTATGGAATCACGTCTGCAATGTTTTCAATACACTTTTTCAAACTACTTTGCGACTTTTCTTGCATCTTAACTCTCACTGGCTGTTCGGGGTCGCTTTGATTTTGGATATGATAGTTTAACTTTACCGCCAAAATCAAAGAGAGAAGTGTTGAAGACAAGGAAGTACTGGACATCTGTTTCATCCTACTTTGGGGATCCCAGAGATCGAACACAGAACCTTCATGTTACGAGGTCAGCTCCAGCCGCTTAGTTGGAATTCAGTGATTCATGAATGCAGACTTCTGCCGATTCGTGATAAAGCGCTACCGCCAGCGAATGTCATCTGTGAGCAACCACTTCGACTTGACATGATGGACTTCACTGGACATGACTTCTCACTAGAATTCTAGGGTATGTATCCTGTAAGTACTATTGAACTGGATACTGATTCTCAGATTAGAGGAGTTTTCGGGATTTGCATTCAATTCAGTATAGATTTCGTCACGCTCCATGTCAAGGTGAATTGGATGCACATCGATATCATTGGTTGGTGGTACCTTTACATCATGAAATGACAAAAGTTATATTTCACAGGATGGTCTCATAAGTTGAAGGTTTTGCATTCAGTCCCTGGTGAGATTATGGGCGGGTACTGATGAGGAGTCCTAAGCTAGGACAAAACAACTGTTCAGTACTCTCTGGTTTTCGACCGCTGTCCAACTGACGACAGTTCGTGATCTGACTTAAAATGTTGCTCAGTAAAAGGAAGATGTTCTGGAGGAGTTGTCACACAAAATTTTAAAATTATGCATTAATGAAGTGTATGAATTAATTGTTCTGTGAACACTGGATTTTATTCAGTTGTGAGCATCACCAATAAAAATTTACGAGTGAGTGAATTTATTTTATTATTCCTAAGTAGTCTTGGAAAACTTCCCATCTGGATTGTTTATTGCCGTATGATTAATCTTCATGAGGATGTCAAAGCTAGATAGAATTGTGAAAGCAAAAGAGACCTTCATTACTTTGAAATCGGTCTGAACATTCTCAGCATTCAGCGTAAGGAACAGGGTTCGAAATTTCAATACTAATGTGCTTCTATATGCTTTATAGACTTGTTACGTAAGTAGCCGAATTCTTTTCCAACAACTTGCTCCAGACTTTCATCAACATCTGCTATCGATTTTGGTGAACAGTGAATGAGCAATGGTTTGTTTATTCGAACTGATCTCAATTTTGACAGGAGGCAAATATGGCGGGGGCAGCCTAGTCGTATGCTGTTTGGCAGAAGATATGAGAAAAACGATCAGGAGTATTATTGTGATTTGCCCTGATGTTTATTTACAGACTTTGTGCTTAATAACCATGTTGTCATGGTTCATTGTCAAATCGCCGATCGATGTTTTGATGTTTTCGAGTTGGTTATTGCACATAATAATATGAAGCAGCGATTAGTTTTCTTCAGTAGTGATAGGTTCAAGATCTTCTCGGATCCGGACAATTAACATCTGCCTTCAATGAACTGATATTGACGATCACATGGCTGGCCAGAAAGAATAAGTAAGCTAACAATTTCCTGTTGGCTAAAAAAATATGCAGAGGATAATGGAGATGCATTGGACATACGGTGGAGAGACATTCAAGTAATATTAGACTCCAGCCACGGTCTGAAATCAATCAAATTCCTGCAACTTAACTCTTGAAGATAGTTAAATAACTAGCTAGCATTGAAATGATCAACTAACTAATTGCTTCTTTTCGATCAGTCAGATTAGTGGCCACTACATTGTAAATAAACGGTTGTTCCTGAAATCCTTGTAAAGTTAACATTCACTGCTGACAGGCTGCATACTTTTGTTGGAATTTTTCAATTTACCAGAATGAGTGGCTCCCATATGTTTTTAGTCTTGTCAATTAATAAAAAAACACATTTTGTTCCTTATTGTTATTAAGGTCATATCTGAGTAACGGTTTAAGAATCCTTTTATCCTGTAAAACACAACGAATTCACCTATCAGGGTTTGCAGGAAATCAAATGAGACTACCCTGAGATATATTGTCAATGAGGATACAAAGAGAACCACCAGTGCGTGTCCTATATGGAATCCTTCGAGGGAGCTGAATATTTTCCTTGGGTTAATGGCATATTACAGTCACTTTGTTAGGAATTACTTTTAAATTGCTAGCTTGTTAACGAAGCTAATTGGAAAGATGTTTTTTTGCATGAATGGAGGATTGCGGCCATGATTTCAAACTTTCGAAAGATTCTTTATGCTTGGCGCCTAGTCTTGCCTTTACAGAAGCATCTCCAAGGTCCGATAAGTACATTCTGGATACTGATGAGCAATCAAATGTGTTTCACGTTAAGTAACGTGTGATGGGAAACCAAATGTCATTACGTGCTATAATCGCACACTGAGTCGAACAGAAAATAACCATTGGTTTACCTAGAAATAAATGTTGCTCGCTGCTTGTACTCAAAAAGAAGAATGATATAGCACCTTAGAAGTTACAGAACTTTAAGGATCCTGAAGTTTAAACTACTAGATAGCTGGAATATCTTCAAGAAGACAACTCTGAATGTGTGTACCACCCTGGTTAACGACAAGCAAATACTGACGCTTTATCTTGATTGTCATTCGCACCACACAGTGATTGTCTATCCATAATGAAAATGAATGTCTGCTGTGTTTCGTTAGCAGGATGGAGTAGAACTCAGTGAACATAG